TATATATATATATATATATATATATATATATATATATATATATATATATATATATATATATATATATATATATATATATATATATATATATATATATATATATATATGTATATATGTATATATATGTATATATATATATATATATATATATATATATATGTGTGTGTGTGTGTGTGTGTGTGTGTGTGTGTTAGTGCTTATTCAAGCATGTTTGACGTAGAACGTTTAATAGCCATTGCAACTGAGATAGTTGCAAGAAAGAGTCACAGCACTTTCTTTTTTAAGAAAACGTGAACAAATGTGTATGCAAATATTTAACATACGTAAACTTCAAATTAAGTAATGTTAAAACATACTGAAACATATATCAAGTTTTACAGTTTGATTTTCCCTTGAAAATTGCATTGCGTCAAACTCTCCTTAATTTTGATCTATAACATTTATTTCTGTTAAAAAAATCATTATTGAAACTAAATAAAGAAAAATTGAAACTTAATAAAGAAAAAACTTAATAAAACAGTCCTGCTACTCAAGAAGGTGCTGCTGTGGAGGCAAAAAAAAAAAAGCCCATAGCTAGAAAAAAATTTAAAGATTTCTTTCGAAAATTAAAAGAATTTTTTGCTACATTTACTTTTACTATAATTATATGCTGCAGTCGTTTTTCAAAACGCCTTAATATGCTTATTATTTTTAGAAAAACGCATTTAAAAAAGATTGTTAGGATAAACTCTTTTGAAAACATTTTTTGAAACAAATAATTTTCATGAATTTTTTCAGAACTCTTTGAAAATATGTATTCAATAATGTTTGTAGACTTCTAAATTAGCTTATTTTGTAAAAAAGTCAAAATTGATTTTTTTTACCTTGAAGCGTTTTGAAAAATGGCTGCAGTATAGATAATACAAGGAATAGGTTGAAATGAGATAATTAGACGCAAAATTTTAAAACAAAAGCCACTAAACCAAAAAGATCAAAAGTAATTGCAGTTCAGTGAATTTAAAAATTTTAAGTATAGTGTATTGGTGTTTGTTTAGAAACATTATATAAATCATTTTTTAATATAAAACTAATTTTTACTAATTTTATTGTATAGGCAGGTTTGGCGCTTAACCATCACTATATAAATTTTATATATATATATATATATATATATATATATATATATATATATATATATATATATATATATATATATATATAAACAAATATGTTATTTGTTTATGTATATTGTTTATAAAATGTAAAAAATCCACTTATATAATGATTTATTCAGGATTGTATGTAATATAAGTAAACTTTTCTAATAATTAGATGCCTTTTTTGCTCAAGCTGTTTTGTTTTGATTATTTGAATGTATGTTATTATATTTTAAAAAATTGACAAGATTGAAAAAACATGAAACATAGTTTCATTCAAGTAAAAAATTTGAAACTTCAATTTTAGATTAGTAAATTGTTGAAGCCACAATTTTTTTGTTTATGTGACGTCACCTTGTGACAAAAAACTAGAAAAACAAACTAGAAATAAGATTTTATTTAAATTTTAAAAAAAAACTCCTTCTATTTAAGATATATGAAATAAATTTTTATGGGATATATAAGACAAAAACTATTTATTTATTACTATCATAATAAATACAGTCTCTTATCCGTGAAATGATATATCTGTACCTGTTTTATATATTTTGATGCATTTGTATGCAACATAATTAAAAATTAATAAAAAATGTAAGATAAATGCAAAAGAAAACTTGACGCATAAAGGTTTATTTTGTCACAAATCGACATCAATGCACAAAATTTTTTGGCTTGACTTTTAGATAAGCATTTAATATTAAACGTTTTTAGCATATGTTGAGTTTACAGGCATTATATGGAATAATCGCATATAATATGTCTATAAAATGAGAAAACTTTAAAATCTTATTTTAAATTTTAGAAATCTTTTGCTATATTATTTTTTTTTTTGCTATAAATATTTAAGCAAGGTTGAAAAAATTTCAAAATTTATTATGGCAAGAGGAGGTCTTAAACCCCCCAAAACAATGCTGATGACAGCACATTCTTTTTATGTAAAATCTTGGGTAAGTTTATTCTGTTTGACAAAAATTAGCTTATATTTGAAAATTATTTATATATTGTAAATTATATAAATACTGTAAATGCCTTCAAAATATCTTTATAATATATATATATATGTATATATATATATATATATATATATATATATATATATATATATATATATATATATATATATATATACATACACAAAAATAATGTGTATGTATATATATATATATATATACATACACAAAAATAATGTGTATGTATATATATACATACACAAAAATAATGTGTATGTATATATATATATATATATATATATATATACATACACAAAAATAAAATGATTACAAATAAATGTTGAAACATCAGAATACAACATAATAAACATTGTAACAAAACAGCAAGTCAAAAGAATGTAAATTAATTGATTTATTACATTTTTTTTTAAATAAAATAAAAACCCCATTTTACCCCAAGCATGGGGCAAAACATGGTAATGGATGGGGCAAAATGGGGTCAAAGGAGGAACTCAAACAAATATGATAAATCAATCACTGCTAGTACAAATATAATCAATCACTGCTAGTACAAATATAATCAATCACTGCTAGTACATAGCTCACACAAAAAGTAAGGTTTTTTGTTTCTTTCATCAATGCCTGCACAAGAATAATGGGCCCATCTGTGGCACTCAGTACATGAGACCCAACTCTCTGTGCTGCTGAAATAAAGATCCTCACAATAGAGGCATGGTGTGTCTTCATTTGATTTTTTGACAGATTTGTTTTTCTTTGGATTCTTTTTTTCTTTGGCTTCCATTAATGATCTTTTATAAGGCGAAGAAGTCAAAATAGCTGTTTTTCCTCTTTGTTTAGAAATAGGTTTTCTTTGGGCCTGTTTTGGGATGGGCAGCAAATGACGTGGCGAGATTGCAAAGCTTGAAGGTACAGTGGTTGATGTGCTAGGCCTACATGAAGTTGAAGGTTCAGTGGCGGATGTGCTACCGGTACATGAAGTGGAAGGTTCACACCCCTTTTTACCCCAACATAGGAGGCATAATAAAACTGTTCGAAAAAACAAAGCAGAGCAAAGCTCATGAATATATAAGAGTCTTAATTGCTTAATATATAATATCATTCAGGAACAATAATATATTTAGTTCAAAGCTTTAATTACAAAGAAGCTGCTTCTTAAAATATAATGTTAAAAAATAAGATGAAAATGTTGACAAAATTGTATTTACCTCTCAACGACGATACTTGAAGAAAACGTGAACGAAAGTAAAAGATGGCGACGTCTCTTCTCGCGATATTTCAAATCCAATATTTTTTTCAATGCTCTGAGGCTCTGAATGGGGTGTATTTTCAAAACCCCATTTTGCCCCACTACCCCGTTTTACCCCAGTTTTCCAATATAAAACAGGCAAAACGAGGGTTAGGCTGGGGTACAGACAATAAGTTCATTGATGGGGAAAGACACCCCTACCCTCTCTCTGCCCATCATCAATAAATTTTTCCTTCATTTAGCCGGCAAATTTGACCCTTTTAGACTAGTCAGTTTGCGAATGAGATTTTTCTTTTTAGTCGGCAAAAGTTTTAAATGGCACACCAACCTCCCAGTTCGGTTGTATTTTCAAAAAAAAAATGTTTTTTAAAAATATGGCAACCTGGTTCCCAAATGAAGCAAAATTATATAAAAATTTCAAAAATAAAATTCATTTTGAAAAAAATTGTTATTTTTTGTTTTATTACTTAAAAAATTACGTTTTTTAACAAAAAATGAAAAAAAAATTTTTATGTTTTTTTATGCATTTTTTTATGTTTTTTTATGATAATTTTGATAAGTTAAAAATTTTTCAAAATTAATATAATTTTTAAAATTTTTATATAATTTTGGTTCATTTGAGTACCAGGTTGACATTTTTGAAAAACTTTTTTTTTGAAAATATTAAGGATCCCTTCGAGTGGTCTTGAGAGACCCCTTAAAATATTTTTTATTGAAAAAAATTTTAAACCTAGTGTTTTTGTATTAGATAGAACACATTTAGAGTTTTTGTATTAGATAGAACACAATTATATATATATATATATATATATATATCTGAAAAATATATAATATAATAACTTTATATTTTATATTTAAGAATTATATTATTTATAAACTTTCAAATAAATAAATAATTTTAAATTATATATATATATATATATATATATATATATATATATATATATATATATATATATATATATATATATATATATATATATATATATATACATATATGTATGTATATATATATATATATAATTGTTTCTATCTTTAATAAACTCTAAGAATTTTTGGTTCCTTTTTTTTTAATGAAGAAAATTACTTTATATTGTAATTTCTCTTCAACCAAGGTTACCAATTATATTCATAAATTGGAATGAATAAACCAAATAAATGCATACAGGGTTTTTTTGTAATTGTTTCAAAGATAAAATTGTGCGATTTTGGTTTTTCACGAATAATTGGGCGTGAATCTTTTCGACGTTCAAAAGTTGGCACACCTGCATATTTACCACCAGAGGTTTTGAACAATAAAAAATATAATCGATCATTAGATATGTGGTCAATAGGAGTTATTATATATGTCAGGTATTTACACTTTTCTATATTTATTGTAATAAAATGCTATAATAAACATTCCATTATTATTTTTTGATATAATAAACATTCCATTATCATTTTGATTAAAAAGTCATGTTTTATAATAGTTGTTATCTTGTTTTATTATGATTTTGAAAATAAAAATGGTTTTGTTACTTTTTTAAGTGTAAGTGGAACTTTTCCATTTAATGAGGATGAAGAAATTACAGACCAGATAAAAAATGCAGCATTCATGTATCCAACATATCCATGGGGTGGAATTTCTAAAGAGTGTGAGTTCTTGTTTCAAAATATGACAGTTTTCACGGATATACTGATTTTTAAACGAAGTTACTTGGAAATTTATTTTTTTAAGTATTTATTGTTCTTGATAACCTTAATATTATTTAAAAATGCAACATAAGCAAATATGTTGTATAAATTCAACATCTAAGAAACAAAAAAGGAAGGTTCAGAAGGGAAAATTGCAGATTTGAAAATAAATAAACTCTACATAGAAGGAACTGATGGAGTATTTTCTAAAAAAAATCAATATCTAAAAAAATTTAAAAAAGGGGTTTCTATCAACACTTTTTAATCGGGTAGTTCCCGTTGTGCGGATTGGTGTTTATCAGGGGGTATTAGGTTGTGCAGATTGGTGTTTATCATGGGGTGTTTATTTATCCGTTGTGCGGATTGGTGTTTATCAGGGGGTGTTAATCAGGGGGTATTAGTACCCGATTTTTTTTTTTTTTTTGAAAAACAGAAGAAAGCATAACTAATGTATTTTGTTTTATAAAGTGTTTGGTTATTGAACTTATTTGTACATTTTATAATGTATGTATACTTATATATCATATTTTACTTATTAAATTTTATATATTATATATAACATATCTGTTCTGTATATTTTATATATTGTATATTTATTTGCTATGTTTTATTTATTATATTTCATTAATGATATTTGATATTTTATTTATTATTTATTATTTTATATTTTACATGTTGTTATTTTATTTTTTTAATAAAACTATTTAATAAATCATCTGCATATTTTGTTTAAAAAATAAAACTTTATTGATAAATTTACATTTATATAAAATATGTTTAATTTTTTTTAAATCTTTCGTAGAAAAACCACTCACTACTACTTTTTCAAAGTTTGTTATTTAAAAAAACAGTTTCCTTTATGATAATGTACTTTAAAAAATTTGGCACAAATGGCAGGTTAAACTTTTTTTCTAATGTGCAACTCAAATACGGCACTTATGCCGGGGTTTTACTTTTATGCCACTTATAAAAATGGTCTTGGATGTAGCTGATGTCCTTGTTACAGAATGATTTTAATTTTCCAACATAAATTCGTTTATTCATTCCTTTGTTATATCATGTGAAAAAAACTTTGCACTTTTTCTTTGAATTTGGATTTAATATTTTAGAAACTTTAAATTCATTAAGTAGTGAGCAGTTTATTAGAAACATCACAGCCCTTTTCATTTTTTGTACAATGTAGTAAAGAGTAATACAACATATATATTTAACACCTTTCAATATCTGTTATAATCAACCATGCATATTGGGTTTAAAATTCTTTCATTTGTCACCCAATCAGTATTGTGGTTTTCTACAATATTCGCTGAATGTATGATCGAAATCATATGAACAGATCTTTTTTGATTGGTAACATTGTAATGAAATGTTTTGCTGACGACAAAAAATAGATACCTCTTTTTCCAGTTTTTTATTTTTTAAACAAAGAGAAAAGGCCTTTGTTTGTATGAATAGTGCCACATGTCTAGAATCTATGTAGTAAAAGTATTTCACAAGTGTCAACACTATTTTAATAGTTATTCATATATATGTGGTGCCATAAGTTTAAATATGGCTGCAGAAGATTTAAAATTGTTTGTTGTAATCGACTTCCTTCACAGTATATATGAAAGTTACAAATATAGCCGAGTTAGCTTTACAAACCATTCTTATAAGAATTTTGTAATTTGTCATTTTTGAGGCATTATAAACTTTGAAGGAATGACGACCTCTCCATGACATGATGCTTTCATCTATTGATAATTCTTGCTGCGGTTTGAAAATTTATGTAAAAAAAAAGAAATAATTGAGCGGATCTTTTTAAGGCGATTGTTATCCTCTCATCAGCGTTATTGGAAAAATGATCCCTGCTCATTATTTGAGCAAAAATTGGAGTTTGAAATGTTTTGTCTGTTGACCAATATTCGTCCCTTGTATCTTTGCGGACTTTACACATAAGTAGAAGAAGTTCTAGCATTTTCTTTAGTTCCAACACAGACATCTTTCCACTCTACAAATTCTACACTATCTCTAAATAACTGTATATTTTGTGCGTGGTAGCGATTTGTTTCTGTCATCATATATTTAAATAAATTGTCCTTAATAATTAGCTGAGCCACATTAAATGCACTTCCAGAATTGTTTGGCATTACAGAAACGCTACTTTTTCCTATAAATTGCTTGATTATAGGCACGTTATTATTTTCTGACCAGTCCAGTACTTTGTCATCACTTTCTTCAGAGATGGTATTGACAAGATTCTCCTTCTTCTTACTTGAAATCAGACAATAAATAAGGGATCGTCCATAAATTACGTAACGCAAAGTTTCACAAAAAACAAAACGAAAAAAGATCAAAAGTTTTCCCTCGCAGAGTTATAATTTAAATAAACAATCAAAATAGGAAATTTAGTTAAATGAAAATCGCCGCGTAAAAAAGCGTAATATCTCCTACTCCTGTTCTTAAAATATTTTTTGCGTTGCGAAATTTATGGACGATCCCTAAAACGAGAACAAACAAAAAAAAGCGCATAATTTTTTTCGAGTTAAAAAAATTAAAAAATGCTTATTGAAAGGAATAAAATGAATGGCAAAATACAACCATATTTTATTGCAGAGTCACCAAACAACGGTCAGAAGACTATCAGTAAAAATCCGACGAGAAACATTTAAAAAAAGCTGAACAACATTAAAAACCATCTTACTTCATTAAAAATTTATCAGATCTAATTTTCCTATAACGCTAAATCGTGCATGCAACAGGCCTAAGTGCTATGTTCATCTTTAAAGTGGGTACTATTTTGCCATTAGTAGTTGCTTTACCTGATTTCTTTTTTTTTTTAATTATACCCACTATGCTATACAGTTGTGCTTGTTTGAGTGCCCGCTTAAAAAGTGTTAATTGTTTCAACAATTTTTTGGCGATTTTTGCCTCCCCTCTTGATAAACAGTTAGTCAAACTTTCAGAGACCCCCTTATAAAACTACGTCAACATTTGATTATCCCTTCCCACCCCACCCCTCCACTCCAAAAAAAAATAGAATAAAATCTAAATTTATTAACAAATATCCTCTCCTCCTCTCCATTCGCAACAATTGTCAAAAAGTTTCAGAACCCTACCCCCTGTGTTTTATTGACATAACTAATGGATAGCCACGATTATCAAAAACAAAGGAGGTAACAATGCATGCAAAATGTATGTAACATTTACAATGTAAATATTATATATGTAATATTTACCATGTAAATATTATGTATATAACATTCACGATGTAAATATTATATATGTAACATTTACAATGTAAATATTGCATACACGTAACTTCGTAGTTTTATAAAGTACAGTGTAAATTGTATTTATAGTATCATGTTAGCATTTAGCACGTATAAAGCACATAATTAAAAAGGTTTTTTTTTAATTTTATTCAATTTTTAGGTCAAGATCTAATTAACCAACTTCTTCAAGTAAAAATAAAAAGCCGACTAACTTGTAAACAAGCACTTCTTCACGCTTGGATGCAGGTATAATACTTTGAAAGTATAAATAATTTGTGAGCACCAAATTTGTGTTTAAATTTGAAAATTTACGTTTTACGCACTTTTTTAGGACTACGAAATTTATACAGAATTGCGCAGTTTGGAAACTTTAGTTGGCGTTCGATACATAACACATGAAAGTGACGATGCTGCATGGGCGCGTTATCTTCAAAGTAAACTCTTCAGTGTAGAATCTATTGACGAAGAAACAAATCCTAATATAAGTTACTTATAATCAGTTTGTTTCAATTGCAAAGCAAATATTACATTATATATTATACATATATTATTGTACATATCATATAAATTCGTATTATAGCTTATAAATTTTATTATATGCTATAATACATCTAAATTATTATATAACTAATATATAACTATATGTAAATACATAAAAATTATATACAAATACATAAGTGTTTGAATGTATTATAGATTTCACATGTTCGCTTTTATTTTTAAAACGTTTTCAGATAACAATTTTACACAATTTCTCAAATTTAGAAGACTTGAAAAAATAATTTGCTCAATATTAACAATTAATGCAATATATGTCTCAAGATTAAACCACATTCTTGCTTCTTTACACGTTTTTATTTTATCGAAATTTTTTTTTTAGATTTTTTAAATTGAATTACTAAATTATTTATATTTTAGGTTATTTTTATAACAGAATTGTGCAATATTTGCTTAGTGCCTAAGTTTATAATAAGTTTTATATATATATATATATATATATATATATATATATATATATATATATATATATATATATATATATATATATATATATATATATATATATATATATATATATATATATATGTATATATATATATATATATACTTTTGAAAATGCACGACTTATCGAGATTTTGAGAATTGAATGCTCTTCAAATATATAAATATTATGTACAATGTACATAATATTTATATATATGAAGAACATTCAATATGTACATTGTACATATATATGAAGCTATATAATCTTATGTGAAATACATATATTTTGTATATATAATACATACTATAAACAAAAAAAGTGCGAAATGGATGTTTGTTTCAGTGACTCGCACAATTATTTTTCAAACAGCTTTGAAGTATTCAAAGCTACTCTTACAATTTCACCACTCTAAGTAAACATTAGGGATGTACCGGAATTACGTTCCGGCTGGAATTTGTGATTTTTAGGTCAATCTGGTTTCGGCCGGAATTACAATATTTCATGCCGGAATTTGGTTTTTTTGTTTTTGTTTTTTTTAAATTTGTGATAGAGACTGTAAATTAAATCAAAAAATCATTGTACTACAGGACAATGAAGAACTATAGGTAAACCTAGGTAAAAAAATTACAAAATTCTTAATGTAATTTTAGGTAAAACTACAGTTAAACGGTCTACAATAGTTTTATTTTTTTGCATGCTACGCTCTCATCAGGGGAGGTATTTTAAACATTTTTAATTGAAATAATAAAAGAAAAAAATTGCTTCCCCGTGCAAAACCCTTAGTCGATGTAGCAGCACTTATTTGTAGCAACAGGCTATAAGATAATCAATATAGCAGCACTCCCTTTTTACAACAATTTTTATTTGAGTTAAAGCTCACCAGCTACGAAAGGCTGTAACAGAAGTGAGATCCTTTTCAAGCTCAATTACTCCTTTTCAGCAATCAAAGAACTTTGGCTTCTTATCAAGATAGTATCATTTGCGAACAATGCCACCTTAGATGTAAAAATTTCTGGGAGATCGTTAATGTAAATTAAAAAGAGTATAGGGCTAAGGATAGAACCTTGTAATGTAATTTAGAACATGAAAGTTGTAACTAAGAAACGTAAAATGTAATTTAAAACATGAAAGTTGTAAATAATAAATCGTAAGATGTAATTAAAAATTAATTGTTATTATGGAAAGTTTATAATGTAGGTTTCCAGGACAAAGTTCTCTGAATTTTTAATTTTGTTTTAATTTACCATGTAATTTAACTTTTTTTTCTTTTTTTGAAAAATTCGAGTATTCAAATGAATAATAAGTAAAACACAAATAATTTATTAATAACAAAATATAAAGATTTAAATTGAATTAAAACAATGTCATTAAAAATCATTGCAATATTCATTCAAACACCAACTTGGACGTCATCCATATTTAAAATCGTTGCGTACTGATTGGTCGTATGTTGTAAGCACGTGCACAACCACCTCCTATTAGGGGGTGTCTATTAACTACGCTAACAAAATATGGAGAGGAAGGTCTGGAAAGTTTTGACTATTTTTTAACTATATTTTTACTTTTTTTTAATCCGTGGTGTGCTTTAAAAATATTCCACACATTCAGAAATAAATAAGCAAACACAAGATGTTTACTCGTAAGAGTAATACTTTTTCAAAGCTTTTGTTTGTTTGTCTGCTGTGAAAACAAATAAAGATTTATGTAAGTACATAGTCTACATTGTATTATTTAAATGTTTATACCAGGGGTCGCCAACCTGCTGCTCGCAAGCCAAATTTGATGTTAAAATTTCGGTGTTAAAATGCGGCTCTGCAGCTCCATGCACAAATATTATCATAGTATTGAAAACAAGATGTTAGTAGCTCTTTAAAAATTGAAAAATTTTTATAAATTGAAAAATTTGTCTCTTCCGTCTTATAATATTGCCAACCTCTGGTTTATACAAGTTATCAAATGCATTATTTTGTTATACTGGACTCTATTAGAAATAGTTTGCTTTCAATGTGAAATTGAATTAGATCTAAAGTCAAAGGAGGATTAGCACATTTACGGATTGTGCCTCTGCACTGTTTACAAATTATGATAAATATGTAACACTAAGACTATGACTGGGACGGGTTTACGGGTACCCACTTGGTACCCGTAAACATCGGAAAACATCGAGGAATGTTCTTCCCCCATCAAAGTTTTAATGTTTCTCGTTGTATTTTTAAATTCCATAAATTGTAAGATTTTTTTTATTGACATGGTACCGACTTACAGTTCTTCTATAGGTCGCGTGAATTTAATTTTTTTACCTTCTATCTTGCACTGGAAGAAGTTTTAACCAAGAGTGTTGCAATCACTTTTACTTCTATTCACTTTGTGTTCAGAGCAAGTTTTTTTAATTTTAAATGGTTATATATATTTTAAAAATTTTCATAACTCAAAATTTGATTTAGATTTATATTTTAACTTATTTTCAGCCTTTTTTTGTATTTTTTTACCGCAGTAAATATTCTTTCCAAATATTGCATTTACTAATTTATTACATAGTTAGATTTGCTTTAGAAAACGACAAGGACCTTTTTGATAATGTGATGTTAGGAGCAAGCGTCTAATCTTGAAATCAATTAAAAATTTGACCACTTTTCTTATAACTTGAGGTTTTAAGTTCATGAGGCGCTTGTGTGTCTTTTAAAATGTATTTCTTCATTATTGAATTCTGTCTAAATTATTAAACAGGTAAACAATGTTTTCATTTAGAAACCATTAGTTTACCTAGATATCATAGTATCGTAGTAAACCATTAGTATGATTTTTTACATTTGAAATTTCATGTATTTAAAATCAAACAGAAGTCGTGCATTATATCTAATATGTGTTATTTAAGGTGATTTTAGGTTAACTTAATTCTCAATAAAGTTTTGCAGAGTTTTTTGAAGATAGTAGATAATAGTTGTAAAGGTGACAACCAGGTTGTCAATCAAATCACGGCCGTGAGTGAGACCTACGACTACGTATTGTATAAATTATTACTTTATAAGAGAGAATAAGTAAATATTTACTGTAAACACGGTATGACAATCAAAACACTTTGTTTTAATATTTTCCAAAGTTTTTTTATTTTGTTAATTAGTTTGCTCAGTAATAAGTTAGTATGTCAAAACTATTACATCGGATCAATATTTTTTTTACATCGGATTTTACTTTCATAATTCCGTATTTTGAAGTTCTGCAGTTTAATGAGTAAGTTTTTTTATATAATATTTATTTCATTAATATTTTTTTTTATATTGATAAGTATATGTTTAAACTAAAAGTACTTTGTTTAAGAGTATAATAAAGCAGTGACGGATCCAGTATTTTTGGTGGTGATGTTGAAGGGGGGGAGGGAATGTTTACATATTTTTGTATTTTGTATCACATTTGCGTCACTTAAAAAAAAAAAAGGTTCTCATTTCTAAGATTTTTTAGGACTTTCAGATTCTGCTGAGTTGGAGGATGGGGGGTATGCTTTACCCCTCTCCCACATCCTGGATCCGTTACTGCAATAAAATTTATTTCTGAGCAAAAACTATTTTTACTTTTAAACTCCCAAAATTTTGTGTACACAGTAAAAAAATAAAAAAATAATGCATAACAAAACATCAAAATGTAATTAACTAAATGTTAAACAACATTTTTTATTTTATTTTATTCAAAGTTACAAGTAGAAGTGGTAGAGCTGGTTTCTCGAGAGGAAATTAAAAAATACTTAAATAACATACTTGATAAAAAAATTTTCGGGTATTCCTTATTATATTTACATAATGATGTTCACTAGGGGTATGACTAAAAAGCTCATTTCATTTTTCGGAAATGACATAGCGGCAAAAGATAAACTTTTAATTGTATTAATTTAAGTAATAATACTTTTTTCCAAATCGAAAAAAAAACTCTCTCTCTCCCCCCCCCCCCCCCCCCCCCCCCCCCCCCCACCACCACCAATGCTTTACGTGCTTTACGGATAATGAATAAAAATAGGAACAATATACTTTTTAAATTTTCTAAAAGGCTGGAGAAAGTCTTTTATCTTACTGGAACTTATTATCTCCATTATTGCATATATCTAAACATTTTAATGTCTTCTCAAGTTTTTTACTAACCAACCTTTGTTTGTTTCCTAATGGACTTTTATAACCCTTAAATGTTTTTCTTACTTTACTTTCTATATTCCAAAATCTTTTTTGTGCGACATTTTTTGAACTTGCAATCCTTACTGATCATTGAGAAAATTTATGTCTTCTTGTCTACTTTTTAAAACTTGTGTTTTATCTTTCAAGATAATGAGTTTTTTTACTTTTCATCAAAAAAAAATCTTTTAAAACCACATTTTTGCCTTAATGGTTTTGTGTTTGTTTAAATTCTTTCTATTCCTTTTTAAGTCAATATTCTTGTCTCTAAATAGCATATCAAAAGTAAAAGATTTCATTAAAGATATTGTAATACAATGTAGACAATGTACTTACATAAGTCTTTATTGTAACTAAAAACATTTATATCTTGATATTTTTATCATAAAAATATATTTTTATCATAAAAAAAATATGAACATATAAACATAAAAATTAAGCTTTATTAATTGTAAAAATGTTTGGAAAATTAACACATAGAATAACCTCTTTAATACAGTTTTCTTAATAATCAAGTGTTATTGGTTATGTATTATGTTTAATGTATTATATATAATTTCAATTCTTTTTCCAACATGAAAAACTTTAGAATGAGATATTTTGTTTTAACAATTGCTTGCTGAAGTAGACAGAATGGCTGAAAACCAGTTCATCAAATTTATCCATTGCTATGTGTATATATTGCTATATATTATATACTTATTTCCAGATTATTAGATTAAAGATTTTTAAAAAATTCGGAACTGGTCTTTTTGTTCTACATTACAGTGCAGAACGTGCTTCTAATTCTAATCGAGATCTCATCGAAACTTTTAGAAACAAAAGTAGACGGAGAAGCAAACTTAATGGTTGTAGCTTATCATTGGTTAAAATTTAAAACAACTGATAAAATATCTTGGATGAAAACCATAAAATAGTCTTTCTTTAAATAAAATATGTACAATTACAAAAATGTTTTATATTTAAATTACATGAAAAAAAAGCCCCACCCCCAACCTCTCAATTATCGCCGTCAGAAACATGCTATCCGTTTAATCTGCTTTGCAAATCGCTTTTCTCACGCAAAACATTATTTTATTGAAATGAGAATTTTAAATATATACGAGCTAAATATATATAATGTTTTATGCTTTGTATACATGTGGAAAAATGACTTGTCTCAATCTGTCTTGAAAGATATTTTTACTCCGAAATCCATCAACAAATACAATTTGAGAAATACTGATATTTTAAATGAACCTTTCTGTCAAACGAACTTTAATCAATTTTGTATTGCCTATCGGGCACCACACCTTTGGAATAAAATTGTTTTGCCCAGTTTTGATTTCGAACTACCCATTACTTTTCGTTTTTTTAAAAGTAAATTAAAAACCCTAATTTTTTTATTAGAAGACAAATTACGTTATTATTAATAATATAAATTAATAACTTTGCCTTTTCTTATTTATATTTGTAAAAAGTTTATTCTTATCTATTTTGTTGATTTTATATTCTTTACTTTACGTATACGTTTATATAAAATATTGGTGAGCAGATCCGCGTGATCTCTCTTTGGATTATATAATATATATTTGGATTATATATATATGAAATTTGTAAAAATTTGATACTGTTAATGCTTGTTTGAACTTATTTAAGGTTCTGACGACAAGATCCTTTGATCTTCTTTCAGATACCTTATTTTATATTTGTGAAAGTTTATTATTATTATCATTATTATTATTTTTTTTTTTGGCAATATATAGTTGTAATACGACCAACAAATGTAAAATTTTTATCAAAAAACAAAATATAATCCAAAAGTAGATTGATCAAGCTTCAACGAAAACTCTCATGGTATTTTTGAAATTTTGTTAAGTAACTCTGACCCTACTATAAATGCAAAAACTTGAATTTTTTTGCCTTTTTAGACAGCTGGGACCAAATTTTCATCTGTGCTGGTGTGGTGGGGGGGGGGGGGGAGAGTTTGTTTTTTTTTGATTAGGAAACAAGTGTTATTACTTTAAGTTAATGCAAGTAAAAGTTCATCTTTTGGCACTATGCCATTTCCGAAAAATGAAATGAGCTTTTTAGTCATACCCCTAATATTGAAGCAGTAAATATAAAAAGAACAACAACTCTTTTTTTTAAATCATAAACACACAGATTAGCGTCACTAGCTTAAATAAAATTGTGGAACACAATCAAGCAATATTACAATACTAGCAGTAAGCAACCCGTAATACGGGTTGTTAGTAAATAAAATTTAAAAAAAAAACCGCGTATAGAAAAGCCTAGAAACTATTTTAAAATATAAAAGCCTAGAAAATGACGTAAGTCGACTATTAACTACTACTATTAAATTAGCGTAATATTATCAGATTGAGAGCGAGAGGATAAAATTTATGAGATAATTTACAGAAAGTAATAACAATTAGATATTTAAAAAATGAGCTACATATATATATATATATATATATATATATATATATATTATATATTTCATAAGTATAATATATATATATATATATATATATATATATATATATATATATATATATATATATATATATATATATATATATATATATATATATTATATATTTCATAAGTAAATGCAGATGGGAAAAATATAAGCTTGAACCTCTATAAGTTGGTTTTGATTCTTCTAATAAAAAAATAAATGTCTAATTTAAAGCTATAAAAAAGTTTCTAGGAGTTTAAACTCATAAAAAATTGTCGGAATTACATTTGCTTTCAAGGAAAAATGTCAATCATTGACCAATTTTGTAAATTGTGTCAGAAAGGCTTCTGATAAAGTGGCAGAAATATTTATAAAGAGTTGCTGTCAATCAGTTTCATTGGGCGGTGACAATTTGGCAAACAGAGAAGTGAAGTGAATAAATTCACCATGACAGTTAGGATCAACATCTTCAAAATATGTTTCACATACAAATGAAACATGATCTCTCATACCATCATTGGACAAAGATTGTAGATTTTTAAGAAAACCAAACCTTTTGCTGACTGTATCATATGCATTAGCCCTCTGTTTAAGAGCAACTAACAATTAATCAACTATAGGCAAAAAACACTGAACTTTAAACTTATCAGAAGGGGATAACTCTAGATCTTCACCATAATCCCATCTCTGGTTCCTCTTGCGCTTTCGCCTTGATTCACCTTTGTACGAATCGGTACCTAGATCCTTTCCTTCCTTTTATGTAATGGAACTGGTGCTGACATAAATCGCTATAGCTGAGTCTGCTGAGACACTATTAGAATTACCTGGAACTGGTGCTGACATAAATGAGTTTGAACTCGCTGAACTATCTGGAACTGGTGCTGACATAAATGAGTTTGAACTCGCTGAACTATCTGGAACTGGTGCTGACATAAATGAGTTTGAACTCGCTGTAGCTGAGTCTGCAGGGACACTATTAGCACTACCTGGAACTGGTGCTGACATTATTGACATAGTTAGTGAATTTGAACTCGCTCTCGCTGTAGCTGATACCGAGACACTACTTGCAGTATTACAAAACTCAGTCATTTTTTTATTTTTGTTCAATAATTCATTTAATTGAATCTCATTCTTCTTCTTTTTTTGCATTTTATCCCAACCGCTCAGGCCGCTCCTTTTCATTTTTTATTTTAATTTTGTAAACGAATGAGCAATGCTGTAATTTTCTGCGGTAACGGAAGTGATCATAAAATAAAAAATGAAACTTAATCTCTATTCATTTATTTACTAAAAATGAAATTCATTTATAAAAAAAAAATTCATAATTAATTCATTATAAAAAAAATTCATTATAAAAAAAATTTCATTATAAAAAATTCATTATAAAAAATTCATTATAAAAAATTCATTATAAATTCTTTATAATGAATTCATATAAATTCTTATAATGAATTCTTTATAATGAATTCTTTATAATGAATTCATTATAGGCGGATTCATTATAAAGAAATTCATTATAAAAAAAAAATTCATTTATAACTAAAAATGAAACTATATCTCTATTCATTTATTTATTCACAACGCCTCCGCAGCTCCCAATAAATTGGTTTAAAAAAACTGAGAAACATAGG